ACTTGGCGGGTCACAAAGAATATCAACAACTGTCTTTGCTCTATACTGAAGATCAGATGGCCGGAAAGAATCACCAACAAGAAACTATGGGAGCAAACAAAGGAAGAACCAATCCCTCAACAAATATGCAGGAGAAAGTGGAGATGGATTGGACACTCGCTGAGGAGGCCGCTGGGTGACGTCGCGCGTCAGGCCAACGCTCGAGTGGAACTCGAAGGGGAAGCGGCGAGTGGGACGTCCAAAGTTGACATGGAGGAGATCATGTGAAGAAGAGTTGAAACAGTATGGATCAACATGGATGCAGGTGAAAAGTACAGCAGAAGACAGAAGCAAGTGGAGACGTGTAGTTGAAGCCCTATGTTCCACTAGGAACCCAAGGGAACAATAATAATAATAGTCAGTATCTCTCAAGCGATGCTCATACATTTGTTTCAAGCCAAAAGCATATTACATTTGTCTCTTAGAGTTGGCTGACAGTTTCGTGATGTGTAGCTGTTTGCTAAATCATTCAGAAAGCAAAAGATTCACTTGGACAAATTTCGTATTTTGTCTGCCTTATTCGAGTAGTACTCGAATTAAAAAAGTAATCGATTTATCTAAGCAGAGTTCAGTGTTCAATGAAGTAAAGCGTTGTAGACTGATTCAGATCAAAACACATAATAAATACATGATTTGCTTGTTACCATAGCAACAGCTATTTGAAAATTTCACGTGTCAGTTGATCCACAATGGAAAACTCAGAGAATCCTACCTTTGAAGTGAATAGAATTCTGGAGTAAGGCAAGTTGGCTGGCTGGCTGGCTGCCTGCCTGCCTATTATCACCGAGGACGATATTCCTAATTGCGGTGAACTGGGTCATGCAGAAGACTGTGGAGGGTGAGAAAACAGGGATATGCTGCACTGACCGATATACCAAGACTCCAGAAGATCCGAATTTCACGTGGGGATGATTTATGCAGTTAAATGTAACACAAACACAATCTCGAAGATATGCAGGCAGGCAGGCGGAAACTGGCAACAAACTGGCTGAAGACGCTGCCAACGAAGACAAGACTGACTCTATCCAGGTGATGAACATAGAGAAGGTGCAGACGGAGATATAGGTGAAGATAACAAGATTACCAACCAACCACTACCACCAGAAACAACAACAACAACAAGAAGCAGCACCAATCACCATCAACGGGAGAAAGAGGTTGAAAGAGGTCACTTCCTGCCTTCCTTCACTTATCTCATCTAGTTTAGACTGCAGCGTCGTTTGAACCACAGGCAGTTGGAACGGATGAAGATGTGAAAATCACCAGTCAGGCAGTATGCCAGAACCGGAAAGACAAGATACGCATGCCTTCATCCACAGGAAACCAGTTTGAAAATCTTCTGCTTCACTCCGCCTCAGCATAAACAAGAAGATTCGGATCTTCAACACAAATGTCGTTGAAGTTAGTCAGTCACTTGCACTGAGTGCAGCTCACTCCAACAGCCAGTGTCAGACTTTTATCAACAGCTGACAAGTTCGCTGGCTGGCTGACTGGCTGGCTCCGTATTGAAGATCAAATGGCCAGTCGGCAACGAACAAACAAACGAATCGTTGATCGCTCAACAAATATGTAGACGAAAGTGGAGATGGATTGATTGGGCATACGCTGAGGAAGGAGGCCATCGAATGACTTGGCGTGGAGTGCAGGCCATCCATCGCTTGAGTGGCAGGTGAATGGGAAACGACAAGTGAGAGGTCTGTGCTGTTGTGACATGGTGGAGATTTGGAAGGAGGAGATGAGAGATTATGGGCAATCTTCAGTTTAGCTGAAGAGGGCAGCATAGTATTTAAGAAAGTGGAGACATGTTCCACTCGGAATCCAAGGGATTATTATTAATAATAATTGTTACAATCAACGGTGATCAGGGAAGTAAGACTATATACACTACGCTGTACACTACTCACTAAAGGATCGATTGATTCATACAAGTAGATGCGTACCAATAGTCAAAAATACCACGAGTTGATGTGTTCGGTAGCCAGCTACCAACTATCAGTCATAATCAGTAGTTTATCATCATCACTATCCATCCTTTTGACCTACAATCATTTCCATCAGAGGATTAGTCTTTTTAGTTAACTTGGAAAAGACGAAGAAGGGAAGAAATTCACAAAATGTCATTTCATATATACGCCTATGTATGTTTAATTCAAATTTATCTGTATTTCATCGAAAAATGAAGAAATAGAGGAAAAATAATAATTTTAACCAACATTTCCCTCCCCTCTACACACACAAACCTGCTCCCCTCTCAAGAGTTAACCTAAATTTCATCCTTCACACAATTCGCTCATCAATTTTCATCGTTTTTTTAAAATTTTAATAGAAGACAAGCACGAAATTTTGAAATTTATTTTCTTTTGAGAAAAGTATATGGTCAGGGTGGGAGTTTTATTCTGGTGGTGATATGAGAAATAGGGGAACGGAAACTGTTTGACAAACTGACTCAATGAATATTAGGATTAAAAATACAATGATGTTGAATTTTCACTTTTAAAGTTTAACTACTTAAATTTAATTAAGTAGCACAAGAATCTAAAGAAAATTTACTCGCATCTCACATACGATGTTTGTCTTAGGTCACATAAACTCCATTGCTTACACATGAAGATCAACAAGTTGGCAGTTGCGAGACTCTGAACATGCTCTATATACACACACAACTCTCTCCTTGCATCTGTCTCACTGGGTAGAGGAACTAGAAGCAACCATAGAAGACTGTATACATGGACGAATAAGTACAAAAACTCTACAATAGATTATTCGGCAGGCATACAGTTTACTTGATGAGAAACGTGTAAGACTGGAAGCTAGCCAATTACTGAGAAACGCTAAGTGAACGGCCTCATTTTGTCTTGTTCTCACTGTTACATTGTCGCTAATATTCTCACTTGAGAAAATTAGATGCAACATTGTATTGTGTTACGTGCTGAAAAGTCCATATTTGTACGAAAAATACTGCTTGGAGTAAAGCTACTATTATTATTATTATTATTATTATTCTTGATTCATTTCAAACTATCCTTTTGTGATACCATTATCTTAACTTGTTTAAATATTATTATTGTTGTTGTAAACGCTACTATTATTGTCAATTATTCATGTTGGGAGTTTCGATAAATCATGAAGTTCCTTCTTTGATAAACAGTTGTTTATTCAAGTGATGTGACTGAGTTGTCAAACTCCCATCCTCCCCTATCTAGAAAACATTCACACCTGTCGAGTCGCATGAATAATTCAACATAGTGAATTTGCTTATCACTCTTATATTTCCACATATGATTCTCATGGTATATATATATATATCCTTGTAAGTGGAGTAGTGGCTGGCTGGCTCCATACTGAAGACGAAATAGCCAGCCCGCCGGCAATTAACGAACCAACGAAGGTCTGATCGCTCAACCAATATGTAGGAGGAAATAGAGATGGATTGATTGGACATACTCTGAGAAAGGAGACCACCGAATGAGTGGAACCCAGATGGGAAACGACGAGTGGATGGTCAGTGCTATTGTGACATGGAGGTGATCGTATGAGGTCGAGAAGGAGGGGGAGGAAGAGGAGGAGAGAGAGATGTGTTGTTGAAACCCTATGTTCCACTTGGAACCAAAGGGAATAATGATAAGTAATAATAATAATAATAATAATTCAGCTGAAGAATACTTCCACGGAGATTTCATGAATTCATTAAATCTTACTTTATTAACACCACCTTTAGTTGCTTGTTTTAATAAAGACCACTGATACATATATTTATTTATATGTAATATTATTAATTTGATAACTTTCTTCTAGAAATTAGCTCAATTTCGATTACCGCATGCTAAGTACACATCAGCACAATTAAGTTGTAATAAAAATAAAAATCGTCTATTAAATGTACTACCGTATGAATCAACTCGAGTACCATTACAGCCTATACGAGGTGTTGAAGGATCAGATTACATCAATGCTAATTTCATTGATAGTTATCGTGATCGTAAGGCTTATATAGCGACTCAAGGACCAATGGCTAAAACAGTTGAAGATTTTTGGCGAATGATCTGGGAATTGAATTCAAATATTGTTGTAATGTTGACAAATCTGAATGAACGTGGTCGGGTAAGTCATTTTCTGTTTGTCTGTTGTTGATTTTTTTTCTTTTTGGTTTTTTGCATTCAGTGTAGAAAGTGTTTTTAACAATAATCGATTAGCACATTTAAACAAATAATGAGTATTCTCATAGTAAAATTTAGAACAACAGATGTCAAGGAACTTAGCCCTAAGTTCCTATTGTAACGAAGAAGCTCTGAACCGATAATTACTATGTACTTGTCTCGACTTCAACTCCAAAACACCAGTACTTTTTTGAAAGTTATATTGTTTGGCAATTAAAGTAAAGACAATTACAAGTCTATAAACAAATGTTTTATACAGAATTATAGTGTACTTTTATTCGTCTTCTTCGAACTTGTACACGATCGAACCATTCGCGCCTTCGAGTTGCCCACTAATGGCTACCAGTTCCAATAAACAAACGTTCAATGTTCACGTCCATTGACACTCCCCGGCAAAAAAGGGTCCATCCCTTTTTCCCATAGTGCCGATACCTCAAACTGAACTGCCAGTGCGGGAACCTGGGCCAACCGGGACTAGGCTAAAATGAAAAAGCAAGACAAAAAAGTCCAACACACAACAAGCATACCACATCACACGGACACGCTCTCCCCGGCGCATGGGAACTTCGCTCTCTGTAGACAGTACCACCATTGATCTGGTTCACAAAGTGTTGGTTGCTTCGTATCACTCTGGCACAACCTCTCCCTGGTGTATCCAGTTGTATACACTGACTCTAACACTATTCGATTCGTTCACAAGTTTAGAAGACTAGAAACGACTTCAGAAGTAATAACAATAACATTACAAGATGATTCACACAATGCGACAACCATAAAATTAACCAACAGTTGAATGAATTGGAACCCACTCAATTACTTAACACAAATATATGTATAATCAATACATCAAATGTTGTGGATTCTGCCTTGACGAGCTACCCTTGAAGAATTGTAGGACTTACAGCAGTACGCCTACAACCTTTCTCAGGTTGACTCCCTAAGTTGGAAAATCGTCGGATTGTCCAATCTCTGATCTGTCCTCTAACACTTCAAGCAAGCATAATTTTCGAATATCTCGCGTCAGCGTGCCATATTTTGTCCTCACTTCCACTGTCCTCACCAACCCATCATTACTGCATATTACTCCTTCTATTACTCCTAGAGGCCATTTACCTGTAGAAGTCTTATCCGAAACTAAGATCACATCACCAACTTGCAAGTTTTGAAATGTCTTCTTCCATTTATCTCTTGACTGGAGAGTTAGTATATACACTTTAAACCATCTCTTCCAAAACATATCCTTCAGATGCTTAGCTTGTCTCCATCTTTTAATCATGGGTCTCGGACCTATGCACCCTTCTCCTAAACCGGGATTACTTCGCCCAATAATAGCAGTTTATTTGGAGTTAACACGTCAAAATCCCTCACATCATCTCGTACCGGCGAAAGCGGTCGGTCGTTCAGAATTCTCTCGGCTTCACATAAAAACGTTTCCAGGGTCTCGTCAGTCAAGCATTGGTTTTTGACGATAGAACTTAAAACACGTTTAATAATTCCGGCAAGCCTCTCCCAAAGCCCCCTCTGTGACTGGCTTGTGGTGGATTGAAGTTCCTTTTTTCAATAGCTCTTCATGAACTCCCGTGCGGAGATCGCAAGTAGGCCCTATGAGCTCTGTGCGACATCCGATGAAGTTAGTTCCTCTATCCCTGAAAATCATCTTTTGGTGTACCTCGATGGCTTATGAACCTTAGCAGTGCCAGAATAAACGAATCAGTAGTTAGCGTATGGACCATTTCGATGTGCAATGCCCTCAATATTCAGAAATAAACTAATCATGGTGTTTTGTCAACAGGATAAGATTGTGCCTATCAATTGTGCAATTAGTCATAATAACAAGTATGAAAAAAGGCGATCTGTGATAACACGAATAACGAAAAACAGTATGATTAAACAAACAAATGTTCTGATAGACATAGTAGTTGATAAAGGCTAGAAAAAACAAATAAATGGACCGATTAAGTAATGCTAGATTGTAAGGGAAGTAAATAAAATACGTTTTAATGAAGATGCGATAAGATTAAGGGGTGATAAGGGAGGGGATGAAAATATAAGTAAGGGGTCTTAATAGGCAAACAAAGGAGAGATAATGTCTGTACGAACTTCTTTTGAGTGAGAATAGCTTAGGCTTAATAGTTCGAATATCCATCACCTCAGGTATGTGCAGTAGACAAATACGAAGTCTATTGGAAAGATTCGGTGGGATAGGATGAACAGTCACCTTGAGTGCTTTCGTTTTCTCCACTACATGACCACTGTCAACCACACGTGACAAAATGAAGCTATGCATTGTTTGTTTTTTCTGTCCTTTACAAAACCACGATGGGAGATGTCCACTAACATGTTGGTTAAGCTGTCTAGTAGTACATCCAACATAACTGTCACCGTAGATGCAGTTGAGTTGACAGATGCACACAGATGTGGCAAAACTATCTAGCTAGAGGTGAGTAGCTGGCCAGCATTCTACCACTGGACCGCTAATGCACGCATTACATTAGTATATAGTAGAATTATTCATTCTGATAGGGATATTTACATAACAAGGCTAAATTCTCCCGTGACAAATAATCATAGCATTAGTTAAATTAAAGCTTTTGTTTTGCCTACAAATTTATATACAGGAATGTTGTTATCCATACTGGCCGACTGAACGTTCTTCACGTTATCAATATTATGTTGTTGATCCTATGGTTGAATACAATATGCCAAATTATACGTTAAGAGAATTCAAGCTAACAGATGCACGAGACGGTCAAGCGCGTACACTTCGCCAATTCCAGTTCACAGAATGGCCTGAGCATGGTGTACCTGAAAGTTGTGAGGCTTTTATAGATTTTCTTGGGCAAGTACACAAAACTAAAGAGCAGTTTGGACAAGATGGACCAATAACTGTACACTGCAGGTAAGATTAATGTTGGTTAATTTATTATTTTTTTTCTTGAATGCCATCGCTTTCATCGACTGACGGCGAGTGGAATGATGTTAGCTAACTGACCTACGATGCATGAGGCTGGAAAAGAGTTAGCTGTTGGTGGTGGTGGTGATCAGAAGAAAACATGGCTTCATCATCAGTCAACGAAATCCACAACAGTTAGTTTAAGCCAGCCAGTCAGCCAGCCACGTAGGGAGGTTTAGACTTCCTGACTAGTTAGGGCCGTTGAGATGGGGAAAATCAATGAAAGTTGGAGACAATCGGTGATATGGCTGGCTGAAAATCGTTCTCGGTAATAGCTGGCTGGTGCAGATGCATTCACTCTTTGTGAATCATCATATCCAGTAGAACTCTATTGTTCTTCAGTATCACTACTGTTTTTGCCTGACTCACACTTGTGTTTATTATCCCTCTCTGTTTTGAACCCCTGTTTACTGTCTCCTGTTGGTTTGTGTGGTACATGGAAGGAGTGTGGCAACCGGAAATGGTGCACACCTGTGCGAAATTCTATGTTGCAACCAGTCAGTCAGTCATACCATTTTATTAGAACAAGACATATAAGCGAACAATATTGTTTTCACTTAGATCTTCTTCAGGCTTTACTCTAATTTACTTAGATTTATATATAAAAATTTTAACCAATGACGGTGATTTTGTGGATCAAATAATAATAATAGTAATAATAATTTGGTAAATGTTTTGAACGTAGTTAATAACGATAATTATAATGATAACAAGAATAATGATAATAAGGTTTATGCAGGTGGCGATAAGAATAACAAAGATAGTAATATGTGTGTATATGTAGACAATTCAATAAATAAATTTCGTCAAATTTTAAAAGTTACGTAATACTAAAGGTGAAGTGGATAGATAGTCAGAGTTTAAATAAATAACATAAAAGTACGAAAGAAATGGAAAGTAATAAAGGGTGGGAGGGTTTTGCTTAGAATTCACCTAGGCAAGCAAGGGAGAGACAAAGGTAGAACAAACTTCTTTTGAATGCAAAGACTAGGATTGTTCTCTCGAATTCCCATAGCTTCGGCTATGTGCAAAAGACGGATTCGAATTCCGTTCGAAAGACTCTTTGGAATGCGATAGATAACTTTGTAGGCACTACTTCTGTCCACTTGGTGACCGCTATCATGAATCAAATGAGCCAAAATAGAACCTCCTATAGATTTTATTTGACCTATTCCAAACCATGAAGGAAGATGCCATTCATTAATGCGTTTGTTAAGCTGCCTAGTTGTTCGCCCTATATATAGATCTCTCCACAGGAGCAACTAAATTTATAGATACACATAGATGTGGCACAGCTAGGTAGCTTGTCTTTCACTTGAACAATCAAAATTGGTCGGCTGGAAAATGAAAAACAAAGGGTGGCGGTGGCAGTATAAGTCCGTTTTATCGCTCTCGATAATCTCAGATGTAAGACTTCGCTAGCCACGTTCCCATTAAATTGCAATTTCATGAACAGTTGTTTCTTTTCAACTGTTGTCAGTTTCTCTTTATTGTACTTGGTGTTCATGTGTCTCCTCACAAATCATACCAGTTTATGTCATGATATATATGAATATTATAATACTGAACTGAATAGCGGATAAACTAATAATAATAATACAGAATTTAGGAATATACAGATTCCCCAAAGAGCCGCGGTCACAATAGTGCCGTGACCTGTTTCTTTTCTACGCAAAGCTCAGGTTGTCTTAAGCAAATTACAATTGCCTCTACCGTTTGGAGTGTTCCGTATCTAGAGGACTTTAGCAATTTATTTTGATACCCTATAGATGATAGGAAAGGATTCTTCAATACTGGCTTTGGCTTAATATCAAACCGTTGATGGTTTCGACTGCACCTTCATCTTCTAGTCATCTTGAGTTTCCTAGCCGTGTCTTGCTATCCGTATGGTTAAATAAAAGTGTTGTTTAAACCACGTCTAAGCACAGAATAAAGCCAGCACTGTAGAGTCTTTTCTTATCATCTATCGGGTACGGGATAAATTGTCAATACTCGAAGCAGCAGAAGCTTTGATAGTTTGCTATATACGAATTAGATTTCCTCGACAAAGTGGACATAAGCACCAGAAGCATGAACATGGATATGGATAATATGGCTTCAACACTCCTTTGTCACAACAGCAGCTTACACATCTCCCTCGCAAACATTGCTTTCAAATGACAAGCTGCTTTCGTGGATAACAAACAGACTTACAGTCCTAGCAGTCGTCTCTTTTCCCAGCAAAAGGCCTTCGAAATCTTAAGACGTCTTCAGCGTTTCTTTCTAGTCTTGTTATATGTGACAAACTGGCTTCCTATAGAGATAGGTGTGGTGTCGTGCCTACTTGGTTTGATCGGTGCAGTTTCAACAAATTGTCAACAAATGTTTCCACTAGTTTAATTTTCCGTTAAACACCAGAGCACGAGTGTTTTCATTTTTGTCGACTTATGCTTGACTTATTCCATGAATCTTGATTACGCGAAACCGCTAAGTATTCATTATTATTGTGAATATTTTTTTTTATTGTAGCGCTGGAGTTGGCAGAACTGGTGTATTCCTAGCACTATCCATCGTCCTTGAAAGAATGCGACATGAAGGCGTTGTTGACATGTTCCAGACAATCAGAATGCTTAGAACACAACGTCCTGGTATGGTTCAAACAGAGGATCAGTATCAATTCTGTTATAATGCTGTTCTCGAATATCTCTCCTCATTCGATCACTATTCAATCTAACTAATCAATCAAAAGAGTTGAATTCAAATTTTCTTGTTCTTCTTCTTCTTCTTGCAAATTCTGCAATCCACCCTACTGTGTGTGTGGTTGTGTATTTGGGGAACTGTGGGAGGGGTTGGAGAATATATGAAAGTGTCGAAAAATTTGGCTTTCTGATGCTGACTACCACAGCAGTTTAAAGTTCTTCTAGCCTATCTATTTTCTCTCAGTAAGCATGTTGTTGTTTACCAAGCTGCGTACAGATTTGTTTTGTCTTCAAAACCTTATTATTATTATTAATGTTATCATCATCACTATCTGTTTATCTGTCTATGGTTCCATTTCTGTTGTTTTACCAGTTACGAATTCTTCTATGTGTGTTCTTTCTCCCACCACACTGTTTCATCTGCTTCTTCACCTCCCTCCCTCCCTGCTTCCCGTACCCTTCGGCCACCCACTGATACTTTGTGTTTTGAAATGACAAGCAGCTGCAGCAGTCAATGATGCGAGCAACACAAGTGTGTGTGTGATCACTACTCACAGACTCATTTCCCGGTTCAGTCAGTGTTCACATTGCAAGCATTGTACTGTACACTCATTGGATGTTCTTTTTTGTTGTTGTTGTCTAATTACAGAGATATGCTTATAATATTGTATGTACCAAGGCACTGGTTGTCTGATTTATTACAATAGGGTTAACATTCTTCTATAATACGCATACATGCATATGCAAACATTCAGAGTTCTTCCATTAATCTGTGGACTTT